TTCGGCGTAGCTGTTGGAGATGTCTGCGTGGCTTTCCCCCAGCAGTCCGCCCACGCCTGTGCGGCCGGTCACCGCAGCCACCACGCCGTTGTTTTCGATGACGCTGCCGGCACTGGCAGAGCCGGCCAGTGCGCCCACCTTGTCGCGCCCGGTGATTGTCGCGGCCACAATGCTGGTGTTCAGGACGGAACCGCCATCGACGGCAGCAAAGAGCCCGACGTTATCCGTGGTGGGGCGGTTGATAAAGAGGCCGCCAATGTCGAAGCCCTGGCCGTCGAAAGCGCCGGTGAATGGCGTTGCCGCCGAGCCTGTGGGCCTGAAACCCTGGCCGGCATTCCAGGTCAGCGTGCTGGCGGCATTGATGTGCGCGGCCTGTACGTAGTGGTTGTTCATGCTGAGGCTGCCCATGCCTTGCAGCCCGTACACATCAAAGAGCTGGTAGGGGTTGGCGCTGCTCCCGGTGCCGGCCAGCGCACGCAGGAAGGAGCCGCCCGTGAGGCGGAAGTCTGTTGACGCAAACAGCGGCAGGGCCGCGCCGACCTGGCTCCAGCTGCCATTGAGCTGCTCGAAGCGGCCCACCGCGACGGCGCCGGCTGCATTGATGCTGCCGCCGGCATCAACGGTGAGGCTGCCTGCCGCGATGTTGCTGGCCAGCGTGATGTTGCCGCTGGTGGCTGCGAGAGCCATGCTGCCGGTGGGGCTGTCAGTGGCGGCCGAGATGTTGCCACCTGTAGCGGTCAGGTTCATGGCGTTGACGGCACCGAAGGTCTGGACGTTCAGGCTTCCGCTGCCCGCGGTTCCGGCATTCGCTGTCACGTTGCCCGTACCGCCGCCATTGACCAGCAGGTACACAGGGCTGGCCGCGCTGTCGCTGCCGCGGATGCTGGCGCCGGCTTTCAGGTCGAACGAGGTGCCCCGCCAGTCGATGCCGCTGTTCATGACCAGGTCGCCCGTTGTGGCTTCCAGTGTCACGTCTTTGGCATAAATTTGCGCCAGATCCAGCGACCCGCCTGCCGTCACGTCAAGCGACCCGCCATTGAGGTTGATGGTTCCCCCGCCTACGACATTGCGACCGGCATCCGCCGTCAGGCTGAGAGCGTTATTGGTGGACTGGATATTGCTGTTGAAGTGTATGTCGCGCCCGGCATCCAGCGTGAGTGCCGAAGCCGCACCCGAGGTCTTGCTGATGGCGCCGTTGAGCACGATGTCGCGTCCCGCGTCCAGCGTCAGGCTGCCGCTGCCCAGGGTCAGTGCGGTGTTCTGCGTGATGTCGGCGCTGGCATCGCTGGCCGTCACAGTGACGTTGTCGGAGCTGCCGGCAAACAGGTTGACGCCGGTGATGCCCGAGCTTGCGCTGCTGCTCAGGCTGATGTTCTGCGCAGAGCCTGCCGCTGTGCTGATCAGGAACTGGCTGCTG